TTTTGGGACATTTTGGGTTATTTTGGGGCATTTTGGAATCTCGGGAATTTTTTGGAGAATTTTTGGGGCCGTTTTTGGGGAATTTTGGGACATTTTGGGTTATTTTGGGACATTTTGGGTTATTTTGGGACATTTTGGAATCTCGGGAATTTTTTGGGATTTTTTGGGAATTTTTTGGGGCCGTTTTGGGGAATTTTGGGCCCCTCCCCCCCCAATCAGCCGCAGCCGCCGTTGCTGACTCAGCGTTTATTGACACGCCCCCAGGGGCGTGGCCAACACAAACCACGCCCCTCACAAACCACGCCCACTCCGCGCCGGGGGCGGGGCCTAAGCCGTGCCGGAGGGGGCGGGGCTGTGACGTCGCTGGTGCCGCCTTAGCCCCGCCCCCGAGGCGAAGCCCCGCCCACAGATGGGGCAGGAAAAGGGGCGTGTCCCCGACGCCATCTTGGATCCGGCAGCCATGTTGGATTTGTCAGCCATGTTGGTTCCAGCAGCCATGTTGGTGGCGGCCATATTGCCGGCAGCCATATTTGCGTCGGCCATTTTGTTCTCCAGAACTGTGGCCACCATATTGTTTTCCCCCACGGCAGCCATTTTGGTGCCGGCCATATTGCTCCCCCCAACGGCAGCCATATTACCACCCGCCACGTTACTTTTCCCCACGGCAGCCATATTGGCATCGACCATATTGGTGCTGGCAGCCATATTGTTGCCGGCCATATTGTTTCCGCCAACGGCAGCCATAGTGGTGCTGGCAGCCATATTGCTTTTCCCAAAGGCAGCCATATTGTTACTGGCCATATTGTTTCCGCCAACGGCAGCCATATTGGCATTGGCCATATCACTTCTGGCAGCCATATTGTTTCCGCCAACAGCTTCCATATTGTTGCCAGCCATATTGCTGCCCCCAACAGCTGCCATATTGCTGCCGGCCATATTGGTGCTAGCAGCCATATTGTTGCCAGCCATATTGTTTCCGCCAACAGCTTCCATATTGGTGCTGGCAGCCATATTGCTGTCCCCAACAGCCACCATATTGTTGCCAGCCATATTGTTTCCCCCAACGGCTGCCATATTGCCGCTGGCCATATTGCTCCCTCCGACAGCCGCCATATTGG